GAGATGATTTTTAAGGTCCCTTCCAACCCAAGCTATTTTATGGTTCTGTGATAACCCTGGGGCTGTGCTCAGGGCAGTTTGGTCCTGTACAGCCCCTCTAGCTGGGGCACAGAGCTGCTCAGGGGGCTGAGGGCAAGGAGGGACTCAGAAAAGTGGCACTACCCCCTCTCTGAGAGGTTCCTGGCTCCATCCTGTATCTCCATCCCTCTGCAGGCTGAGGCAGGGGGTCGCCACTCCCAAGTACCACCCCCTGTGCCCTCCACTGCGAGCCGGGAGAGGCTTTGCAAGAAGAGGCTTGTTGTTTCAGCTGATTTCAGTGTTTTAATTTGAAGAGGAATAATGTGTAATCACAACAACTGTCATCTGTTTGACAGTGGAAAATCCCAGATCTCCCGTGCTTTTTTGTGCCCCGTGCTGGGCAGCCTTTCAGCAGCACGAGCTGCTCTGCAGTCACATTTGTAGCCCTGGTGGGATGAATGGGTTCAGACCAGCTCACTGATCTAATTTGTAATGTATCCTTATAACGTATAATTGGCTGTTTAATTTAATTCAAATTAACATAAGAATGGAAAATACAATCTGCTGTGTGTCCCACATGGTGGTGGGAGGGAGCGCTGGGTGTTCCTGCAGAGGGGTTGAGAGGTGGCTTTGTGAGACCACCCTTCGTGGGGGTGGAGGCGTCATCTTGGACGTGTCAGTAGGCACCGTGTGTGACAATAAATCACTCCCTTTCCCCAGCCTTCCCAAGTGCCTATCTGTCTCATCTCCCTTCCTCATCTTTCTAGCCATCTATTTAAAACACATATAGAGTGAAGGAGGCTTGCTTTGGAAAACTGTCGGTAGTGACAGGGTGTGAAAGCTGGCAGGCGCCGAGTCTGATTATGTTGATTGGATATTGTCTAATCTGATTTTGATTGTGTACAGCTTTGATTGTAATTTTGATACGTCTGCAAAATGCTGTAGCTGTTTGGAAAGCTTTGTGATTTAAACAGGTCTTTTTTCTTTCTCTTTTTTTTTTTTTTTTCCCCCTGGGTTGAATAGAACAGAGGCAGAAACGTGCCAGGGGGTGAGCGGGGCGACGGGGCTTTGGCACTCCCTGCAAAACCACCTCAAAGCCCTTGGGTGAGCTGCTCTGCAGCAACACAAGGAACTCATAGTTTTGAAGAGAGCTTTAGGAAACTTTGAGTGGGTTTTACATAATTTAGTTAAGCACAGCAAAGCCACTTGCTTATATACCTGATACCAAAATAAACCAGTTGGAGAACAAGTTTGCTGTGTGATGATTTATTTAAATCCCTTTCTGTAAAGCATGGAGTGAAATCCTCTTAAATAACTGGGAAAGAATCGGTGTACCTCGAGGAGCACAGCCCGAATGGAAACCTTGCTAGCAGATGTATTAAATGGGATCTCTCTGTCTGCTGTTCTGTACATCCCCTCAACCTCCTCCCTATAATAACACTGTTAGACAGAAGCTGGCTGGAAAAGTAGCTGGGCTTGAATTTCCCCTGAACAATAACAGTTGGTACAGAGCTATCAGGGCCCAGGCTCTGTCTTGTGTTTCTGGCATGCTCTTGTTTCCCTACAGCTGGTGGGAATCTCAGGCGAACATGAAGGTTCTGGGCAGATATGCAGAACCTGCTCTTGAATCATCAAATGGTTTGAGTTGGAAGGGAACTTAAAGGTCATCTTGTTCCAATCCCCTGCCATGGACAGGGACACCTTCCACTAGCCCAGGTTGCTCCAACCTGGCCTTGGACACTTCCAGTGGGGCAGCCACAGCTTCTCTGGGCAACCTGTGCCAGGGCCTCCCCACCCTCATAGGGAAGAATTCCTTCCCAATATCCCATCTAACCCTGCCCTCTGGCAGTGGGAAGCCATCCCCTGTCCTGTCACTCCATCCCTTGTCCCGAGTCCCTCTCCAGCTCTCTTGGAGCCCCTTTAGACATGGGAAGGAGCTAAGGGCTCCCTGGAGCCTTCTCTCCTCCAGGCTGAACACCTCCAGCCCTCCCAACCTGGCTCCAGCCCTCAGAGCATCTTCATCGTCTCCTCTGGACTTGCTCCAGGAGCTCCACATCCTTCCTGTGCTGAGGACCCCAGGGCAGGAGGCAACACTGCAGGTGGAGTCTCACCTGAGCAGGGCAGAGCAGCAGAATCCCCCCCCCACCCACTGCCCACGCTGTGGGATGAGCCCAGGACAGGGGGGTTCTGGGCTCTTTGGGTGCACACACATGTGCATCCTCTCCTCCACCAGCACCCCAAGTCCTTCTCTCACAGGGCTGCTCCCAGTGAGCACCTCTCCCAGTCTGTGCTCCTGCGCAGATCACCCTGACCCAGGGGCAGCATCTTGCACTTTGACTCCTTAAACCTCGTTCTTCCCAAGCTCGTCCGGGTCCCCCTGGACATCCTGTCCTTCTGTTCTGTCAGAAGTTCTTTTCTTTGTCTCTTTCTGCAGTGGGGTGAGGGAAGGGGAGGGGTGGGGGTTCAGCTTAGCAGAGGACAAGCTGCTACCAGCCCCAGTTTTGGGGTGAGGCAGGAGCGACCCCCTGCTCTGACACCCCAGACAGCCACGGCTCTCCCTGGCAGTGCCCTTTCACCAATCCACAGATCCCTCCTTGCTCTCTCCTGCCTCTCCCACTGACTTCTGTGTTCTGGTTAAATATGGGCTTTAATTTATTTTATTAAGGGCTTTCTCCCCACACTGTGGGGTGATGAAGAGCAGGAATCTGAGGATGAGCCCTGGGACAATGGATTAATAAAGCCTACAGCGCTTAACTGGTTTTTTTAACATCTGGGGTTTTGCTCTTAAATCAAGTATTAAGTCAAAATCCAACCATGAAACTAGGTGATCAGGGAAATTTAGCTTAAAATCCACGTGTATAATACTATGGCTAATCAGAATTTCATATGCTATAATAATAATATGTGAAACAGTAGATGTTTAGAATCAGCCTCCTCTGCCAGAGACTCATTATGTTCTGCATTGATAATTAATAATTTTGGATAGATTCACACTTACATTATGAAGCAAATATGTTTTTGTCTGAAGCGAAAACGATTGCACAGGTGCAATAACATATTCTTTATATAAATTGGAACGCTTAGAAGTAAACAAGCCTCCAGAAAAGATGGGGAGCAGACGGAGTACTGACATCTCTGTGTGTTCGTGTCACCTCGAGGCAGCGTTGGTAGGGAGGTGAGGGAATGCTTCTCCAGATGAAATTTGGAAGGGGATATAAGGAAGGACAAATCTCCGTGTGTGGTGAAGTCATGCAGGCTCCCTTTAAAGGATTTTTTAACAAGTGATGGCTGTGTTTGCAAGTCTCCCTCCCTGGTTGTAGCTTCTATGCTGGAGTTTTTGAGGACTCGACGGGAATTAGGACAAGAGGGAATGGCTTTAAACTGAAAGGGGGAAGAGTTAGATTAGATATTAGGGGAAAATTCTTTACTGTGAGGGTGGTGAGGCCCTGGCATGAGTTGCCCAGAGAAGCTGTGGCTGCCCCATCCCTGGAAGTGTTGAATGGGGTTTGGTCCAATCTGGTTAGTGGAAGGTGTCCCTGCCCACGGCAGGGGGTTTGGAACTAAGTGAGGTTTAAGATTCTTTCCAACCCAAACCATTCCATGATTCTTTGAATATTGTTCCCAGGTAATTGTTATTTCTACAGATCTAATTCTCATAAAAACTCTTAAAAATACCAACTGTAGGTACTGTAAGAGCTGAGCTGGGTGCCCAGAGAGGGACTTTGACTTACAAATGCCTCGGCTGGTCAGGAAGCAGCTCTGCCATGGTTGTGGCTCTGCAAGCATCCCTGGCCTGGCTGTGGTCCAGGCATGGAAGTTTCTGCTGAGGTTTTGGAGAGTTAAAGATGTGCAAGAGGGATGAGGGGAGCAAGGGGATGACCTGAGTGGATCTGAGGTGTGTGAGGATCCGTGGTGTCCCTGATGGATGGTGGTGCAGCACTGCCACACTTGCACCCCGGCTCCTGCCTAGTTCCAACCTGGTGTGCAGTGCTTGAGTTATCCTTTTTATTACAGCAGAACCATTTTCACTGGAATGTGCTTTTGTATTTCTTACACAAATGATCATTTCCTTTGCTGAAGCAGCGGGACAGTGACAAAATGTTGCAAAATGTCTTTTTCCCATTTCAGACATACAACAGCCAGAATGAAAACAACGAGGACTACGAGATCCCTCCCATAACGCCTCCTAATCTCCCTGACCCTTCCCTCCTGCACTTGGTGGACCACGAAACTGGATATCACTCTCTGTGCCACAGCCTCCCTCCCAACAGCCTGATCCCAGCCTACCCCTACCAGAACATGGACCTGCCAGCCATCATGGTCTCCAACATGTTGAGTCAGGATGGGCATCTCCTCTCCAGCCAGCTACCCACGGTCAGTGCCCTTCCCCTCTTACTGTCTTTCATCAAAGCTGCTCTGTATTTTGAGTTATGGGTCAATTGAGCATGGAAGGGTGTTGGTGATGAGCTGTTTGCCTGAGGAGGGGGTTGGCAGCTCTGTGGTGCTGCCCACCAAGGCCGGGGTGCAGTGGCAGAGACTGGAGTCACCTGAGTGGCCATGCACATGGTGTCAATTCTGTGTTTCCAGTTTGGTGTCTTCCTGAGCCTCATGAACCACTCAAGAGCAAGGGAAGGTTGTTTTCCTCTGTGTATTTAACATCCTCCCTGAACCAAGCGAAATGCACGTGCTCCCTCCCCCGTGGGAGTGTGACCAGCCAAAGCCTGGAGTTCACAGCCCTGCATCCCTTCTCTTCATCCCTGTGTCCTGCTGCCAGGGTGGCCCCAGTGGCGTCAGCAGGAGGAGCATGGATGCTCCCTGAAGGGAAAGCTGTGTGATTGATTTCAAGGGGAACAAGATCCCTCCCTGCACTCGCAAGCTCAAATTGCCTCTTGCCTCACGCCCTGGCAAGGGGATACCTTGGGAGGTTTCAAATGACTCATCTGTAGGGATAAACAAGGCAGGGATAATGAAGTTGAAGTGCAGCTCTGGGAAGAAACTTCAGGGCTAATTAGACCTTACGATGCTTCTGCATCAGCAGCACCGAGGAAAGGTTGTGACTTGATTTTGACAGTGATACTGAATTAATACTGTTGCTGTTTAATAGCATTTTTCTCTTTAGCAGATTTAGCCCTGTGGTTGGGTTTCGACATTGTTTCTCTCTAAGATCATTGATTTTGGATGGCATCGATATCAAACAGAGTTAATTTGACTTAAAGAGCATGGCTGGGAGGCTGCCCCTGCCTGGCTGGGGAGCTCTTGGTGTTGATTGCTTGACTAGATAATGGTCTGAAAGGTAGTGATATTTAAATATTTAAATGGGATATTATCTCTCAGCCTAGGAAAATCCCAAGGCTTTCTAAAGTCCTGATGAGTCTCCAAGTTTCATTGTTAGTGTGTTTAAGAAAAATATCATTTTCTGCCCATCAGTATCGAACAGAGGCATATTTCTATGGAATTAAATATTACTTAGGGCTCTGTGTTAGCTTCTAGGTTCTTAGGTGATTAAAACATTCATTTCTGAGACAAAAAGAGTCAATTTCAGCTGAAATATTTTTCCCTGGTTTAATTTAAAGCACAGCCCCTTTGCCTGACCCCTATTTTCATAACACGATAATTTTATCCTGTGTTGATTGTCTCATTTTTGGAGGTGATATTGCACTTATAAATCACTTTCTAAAATACCTAAAGAAAAAAAGAGTCGGGGGATTTATTAAGCAGCTTCCCTACGTCTGAAATAATTTATTTTGGAGTAGTCCTTGGGAAATGTTCTCTTTCTTACTTTATGGTACTGTTTTACAAATGCAGCGTGGTGACAATAAATCAGGACTGAGCCAGAGAAGATAAGAAGGGGGCTTAGTGGGCTGTAAAAGTAGAATAGAGAGATTAAGATTTGTTTACCCCTTACCACGAAAATAAAAAAATCCAGTGAACCCTGAATTTCCCAGCCAATAGTGAATTGAAACTGTTTGGTTTTGAGTGGAAACCCTTGGAGCTGTAATACATCTTCAGAGGCCCTGACAGCAAAGGGAGGGGATCAGGGAGGGAGCTGTGTTGCACTTTTACGTCAGAATTCAATCCTGCCTTACCCTCCTGCCAAAGCATTTTTTCCCCACTGAAAAGTGACACCTTCTGTCCCCTCTTGGGTGGGGGATCGAGTCTCCCCTTCCTCCAGCACCAGCCCACGATGGCAGCATTTGTCCCACAGCACACCTACAGCTCCTGTTAGTGCTGAAGGGAGCAGCACATGCACATGAGGACACAATAAAACCCTGGGGAGAGAGCAGATTTTAAACTCATAGTTAATACCCCATAGCACCTTGCAGTACCTAAAGGGGCTCCAAGGGAGCTGGAGAGGGACCTTGGGCAAGGGCATGGAGGGACATGACAAGGGGGAATGGCTTCAAACTGACAGAAGGCAGGGTTAGATGGGATATTGGGAAGGAATCCTTCCCTGTGAGGGTGGGGAGGCCCTGGCACAGGTTGCCCAGAGAAGCTGTGGCTGCCCCTGGATCCCTGGAAGTGTCCAAGGCCAGGTTGGACGAGGCTTGGAGAAACGTGGTCCAGTGAAAAGTGTTCCTGCCCATGTCAGGGGGGTGGAACTAGATGGTCTTTAAGTTCCCTTCCAATCCAAACCATTCTGTGATTCTTCACCTCCTGCCCATGTGCCTGCCAAGCCACAGCTCAGGGGGTGGTGTCCCCGTGAAGCCAGAAGTGAGTCAGGCGTCGCTGTCTGATGGCACAGGGCACACGACGTGCTCCAACCCTGCCAAAGTCACCCACCACCCATCACCAGGGGGGTGTTTGCAGCAGGAAACCTCCACATCAAGAAAGGGGCTTGTTTGCCAACACTTCCAAAAGGAGAGGGTTCATTGTCACAGGGGTAGTGGTGGGAAGCCAGTCTGGGCTGAGCAGTGCCTGAGCACAGAGGAGGTGGCTCAGCCCTGGGAGGTTTTGTCTTTGTTCCAGCACCAAGGTTGCTCATGCAAATTCTGGAGCTGGATCCTCTCTCCTGCTCCTTGCTGTAGTTCATACAGGTTTTTGCATACACAGCTGTTTCCTGCCTCGGCTGCCATGTCTTTTGGTTGGAATATGGTGACAAATGACAAGCAATTCCACGTAAAATATTTAGACATTGGTCAGACTTGTGCTCTAAAAATGTAACTTGAGCCTTGGGATTTTTTTAAGGCACCCTTGTGAAAAAAATCTCAAGCTGCTGGAAAGAGGTGAGTCCTAACTCCCAGAGAGCCAGGGGATTGGAATTTTCTTTAAGAGCTCAGAAGTAAATAAAGAAAATACAGGTGCAGGTTGCTGTCCCCTGGGATGTGTCTCTTGTCCTGGGGTGTCCTGACATTACCCTTGGATTGCATTAAGCCTCCCAGTGCCTCTGCCAGAGATGGGCTGCTGCTCCCACTGTGGAGGTGACCAACTGAGAGTGATTTTAAATCAGCAAAGAAGTTCCCATTAGCAGGGTGGGAGCTGGAGAGTGGAGGTGGATTTGCTGTGTGCCAGCCCCCACTCCTGCCTCCAGCCCACCCCAGGCTGTCAGGAGCTGGAGCCCCTTGTTCAAGCACAGCAGCTGTGCCCTGATGGGGAAAATCCAAATCCACCACCACTTCTGTATTTCCTTATCCCCTCGGGATCATCATCCAGAGCATCCTTCCCACCACTGGCCTCTGCACACTGTGCTCTGCCCATGGACCAGCTCTGCATTTCCATAACGTGGTTCTTCACAGCTGTTTCTCTCACTTTATTTCTCTTTTTTTTTTTTCCCTGTGAGTTTTTGGAAGTTGAGGGAGTTTTTAATCCCCACTGGATGTGGGGTGCAGGGAGCTGGAGAGGAGGGAAGCAGGGATGGATGGACAAGGAATGGCACAGGATGTGTGGAGGATGGTGGAAGGGGACGTGGGGAGGTTGGGGAGGAGGCAGGACTGGATTGTTTGGGGAAAACTTGTTATTTTTTGCGTAGTGACAAGAAACAAACAGAAAATTCTTACTACAGTGGATTTTTTTTTTCTACTGGCCTCTCTTTTTCTATGGGAAAAGAGGAAGGAAAGAAGAGGAGTGGCAGGAGGGAGAGGAAATAGGAGAAATGTGACTGTCGCTGAGAAATGGAAATATTTAGGAAAAAATTGTTTTCCTTGGGAAGAGAATGACTTTGCCCACTGTCACCATCCCAACAGTGTGGACAAGCAGCTGCTGAGCCCTCCAGGGATCCACAGGGAGTCCTGTTGGGCTGGGACCACACTGGGCCTGGGATCTGGGGGCATGGGGGAATCAGGGCAGGGGGCAGAGACATGCTGTGGATCAGTGGTGAGATGGGGGCCTACTGGGTTAAGGAGCTGCTGTGAATAAATGAGATTTCAGAAGGGATTTGGCAGAACATGTTTGACAGAAACAAAGGCTGATCAAGGTCAGAGCTCAGGAATCTCCAACGCAGCTCAAACATATTTCCATAAATATTAAATAGCGACCAAGTGGGCCGGGGGTGTCTCTGCTCATCAGGTGGGACAGTGCTGGGCTGGAGGGAGCCAGGAGCTCCTGGTCAGGGGGACAGCACTGCCTGGAGCTCACCACAGCTGCTCCAGAACCTCGAAACTGTGCAGTCCCCCAAGCCTGGTCAAAGGAGGCGGCTGTGCTGGGGCACACCAAAAAACCAGCCTGTTCTCCCATGGTGCACATTGTGGGCTGCAGCTCCTCCAGCTCTGCCATGGCCGGGGGGAATGAGGGCAGACCCATGTATGGAAAGCATTGTTTTGGGCACATGGCTGCAGTTATGAGCCAGCACGAGCTGAGTAGATGTAGAGTTTGGTTGGAGCAGCTGGTGGCTCTCCCTGTGTCTGCATCTACCTGGTGCTTCTCATGATGAGAGATCCTTGTGAGTCCTTTAAATGCACTAACACTTCCCTGAACCCAGTGGGGTGACTTTTTTCTGCCCACAGCGAGCTGGTGCAAGGGCAAAAATGCTCCAACCACAGCCTGAAAGTTCTTAGTTTCTGTTTGTTGACTGGAAACAGATTATTTGAAAACTGTTAAAAATCTTCACTGGCAAAAAGCACATTGATTCTGTAAAATGACAGATTTCCAGTTAGCTGTGGAACCTGTCTATGCAGAGGGGAGGGAGTAAAATGGCAGATGGGGGTGAACTGTAGTAGCAAGGCAAGTGCCAGGCTGAAATTCCTGAAGTTTTCAGTTGACTTTGCAGCCTGAATAGCTGTTTCCCAGCATGATGGGGCTTTGGTCTGGAACAGAGAGGAAACCAGTAAAACAGCTCAGCAGTAATCCAGCTGCCTGCCCTCCCACAGGAGAAGTGGAAAGGCAAGGCAGCCCCTTCCCAGAGCTGGGGTGGTGAAGGGCTCCTTTCTGGTGCTCACCAG